CTCGCCTTCCATTCCCTCTTTAGTTTACTTCTGTCTCCATCACTCTGAGACTGCTCCCATCAAGTTCCCATAACAACCTCCGTGCCACCAAATCCAGTGACCTCTTTCATGTCTTTATTCCATCTCTCGAGAACTGACTCCTGCCTTCTTGAAACTCTCCTCTCCCAGCTTCCAGAACCCTCTTGGTTTCCCTCTTACCTCACTGGCTGTCACTTCTCGGTCTCTCTTGCCAGCTACTCTTCTTCCAATTCAAAGTGTGGCTCAGCAGCCTCTCGGAACCTGCTAGAAATGGAGATTCTTGGACCCTATCCCAGATCTACTGAATCAGACTCTCTGGAGTGGGGCCCAGCAATCTGTGCTTTACCCAGTCCTCCAGGCGACACACACTGAAGATTGAATACTGCTGATCTAAAACATCGTTCCTTGAGATTAAGTCCTGATTTTTCTTCTGACTACACTTGCTCCCTTGATGTTATCATCCAAGTTCATGGCTTTAAAAACCATCTATATACTGACAACTTCTAAATGCACATCTTCAGCACCAATCCTCCCTCCCTACCCTCCATGCTGAGTTCCATAATCCCCAGGTTCACTCATCTGGGGGTTACACGGGCATCTCAAACTCAACAAGTCCAAAATGGAAGAAACTTCTCTAAAACTTGTTCTGTCTAGAACTTGGTCTTCCTATGTTTTTGACCATTTCAGAATCCCTCCTCTACCACCACTCCAGACTGAGCACCATTTTCTCTCTTCCAGACCAATGCAAAAGCCACCTACCAGGTCTCGCTTCCACTTTTGCCACTTCGTGTCCCATAGAACCAGAGTGGTCTTTTAAAAAGGTAAATCGGTTCATGTCACTTCCCTGCTTAAAGCTTCTAGGGCATCCTATCACATTTAATTAAAATCTAAATACCTTGTCATGGGTTGTTAGGGCTTATATGACCTGGTCACTTTCTATGTGGTTTCCTATATTCCCTCTGATGTCTTACGTCAGAGATTGAGCTATTCACACTAGGTTCTTGATAAATTATTTGTTGAATGAAATCATTCTCCTTTCATGAGTAAGATAAATTTAGAGTTTGACTTCTTTAGCTTCTCCGTATTTGCTGAGGAGGAGTTAGGTAATGTTGACAAATAGCTCTAAGCCAGAACACAAGAGATGCAAAGGGAGACTTTTAAAAAATGACTTGATGGTGCTATGAACCTCAGCAGTACCCACCTGATGGGCCCCAGAGGAAAAACTGTCAACCCATTCTCCCCACGAGTCCAGAAAATGGCCTTCCTTGTTTAGACTGAGATGTGGTAGTTGTGGTGACAGGGGAGGCAATCGTGAATGAGGCTGGCGTGAGGAATGATGTAGGGCCATTTGCAAAAGCTTCCTCCTGTCAGCTGCCCACCCTGGTGCTGTTTATGAGGTCCATGAAAGCACCTAAAAACCTACAGGCCAGACCACCAACCCCATTATGGCAGTTTTTTTAAATGGTCATAAATTCTGTGCTATTCCTCCCACTGAGAGATGAGGTCTACATCCCCAGCATAGACTACTATGAGGTCTACATCCCCAACATGTGACATACAATGGAAATGATGTTATATGATTTCTCAGACTAGGTGGGAAGTGGCAATGTAGCTTCCATCTTGTCTGCTGATACTTTTGGAGTCCTAAGAAGTCCATCAAACCTGAGACAGCCAGGCAGGGAAGAAGCCAGGCCACATGGAGAAGCCAGTCATGTGGAGGTACCCTGTAGATCAGCACAGCTGATTCTGAAGTTCTCCCAAGCCCAGATGCCAGTCATGCAAGTGAAAGAGCCTTCAAGTGATTCCAACCCCTATCAAGTCATCCTCAGATTTTGAGTCTTCAGACATCATGACGCAAAAAGGAATAAAATGTTAACAGACAGCAACAACATGGATAAATCTCAAAGACAGTATGGTAAGTGAAAGAAGTTTTTTTTTAAAAAGAATATGTACTGTACGATCACACTGATAGAAAGTCTCAAAAAGGATATACTAATGACAGGAAGCAGGTCAGTGGTCACCTGGGGTTGTCCAACTCTCTGGCCTACACAAGCCACAGGCAAAATAAAATGGTGGTTGTTTTAACCACAAAGTTTTGGGATAGTTGCTACATAGCAGTAATAGCCAGAATAAGACATAACGCAATCCCTTTTGGTTCCTACATCCCCCCAAGAGATCCTTTGCCTTTTGAGCCTTTTCCTGATAGGTGGAAGCGGGCAGAGCATTCAGCCAGTAGACATAGGATTCTTCTGAGAAAAGGCTGAGTTTAGCATCTTCTAACCAAGCTTCACAGAGCCCCTTGTGCCAGGAGAAAGCCAGCCCCTTATGAAGTCTGATCTGGTCACCCATTCCCTGCCCTACCCCAGTCTGACACTCAAAGAGATGCTTTACTGCCCCATTTCACCTAACAATAAACCATCTCTGAGAAGAGTACTGTCAACATAATCATTATGTAAAACAGATAGATAGAAAACAGGCCCGCATTGCTCCCCAATGCTCATTTCTAACTGGCCGAAATCCAGTTCTCTGTTACTGAATCACCTCCATTCAGTGGCCATGTTTTCCAAACCTCTCATTTCCCCTCCCCAGACCTTTCAAGCTCCCACCGACATTCATAAAAATATCACCCTGCGCTGCACATCAGGGTGTACAAGTCTCCTGGCTTCTGGCCACCCTCACCACTTGTCCCCTCGCACTTGAGTGATGGCCCATGGGATACAAGTATTTAATCCAAATCCTATTTCCAATGAGTATCTAATATTCTTAAACCTCTTTTCTTACAAGATGGTGGAGCCTTTTACCAATAACCAGGGGACAAGATGTCCCATTTTTCCCAGGACAGTCCTGATTTATGCCCGTTGATCTATCTTAATTAATTTTGATGCCTCTTTCACTCTCAAAAGCACCCCAATTTGGGTAATAATTTATATGGTCCCCCTAACCATGTCACCTGACCTATCACTTTATCCCTGGCCATCTTTACATGAGACAAACCCCTAACTTCTTAGCAGGGATAATAAGCAAGAATACACCATTCTGTTTTATGCAAGCTATCCCAGGTAATGTGCGGAGTGGATTTGTTAAATGTAGTGCATTTTTATCATAATCCAAACCATCTCTTTTTCATATAATAAGGAGCAGAAACTGAGTAAATGAAGAAACAAGAGATGGCTAGAGTCCTTCCTAGGCCTCAAATTTTAGTGATTTATATGAAAATTTATAAATATTGGGCTGAATCCGGAGTAGCAAAAATTTTTCTTTAGAAATTTCTGATGACCAAAGTTCCAGAAATTGCTTTTTTGTTCCCTAACCTTTCATTTTCTCGAGTTTTCCATTATGTAACGAGGTAGTTGGGGTTTGGGCAGAATCTCCCTTTAAAGACGAATTTTATAGTCAATGAGCAACGTCAGGGAGTGATGCCACTGGGAGGGGGTGTCAGCTGACATAAATGTTTAAGCGAATCCCAACTCGTTTCTTTCCTGTGACTCAGATCCCGGACCCTGCTTGGCAGAGCATCTCGTTTCACGTAAACCAGGTGGCCCGCCCGCTGCTGCGACAGCGGGTGCGGGGGCCGCGTGGTGATTGGTCCGCGCGCCGACCTCCGCCCGCGAGCGCCACCGCCTCCCTCCCCCACCCAGGCACCTCCTCCTCGGCCCTGCGCGTCGCTGGCCCTTCGCGCCAGTCGTTGACAGCGTTGGCGCTGCGAGCTTCTTCTCCGACTGAGGCAAGTAAACAGCCTTGTCGCCCTTTTAACTCCGGCGGGGACCGGGGGCGGGAGGCTTGAGAACTGAGGTGCGCGGGGGGCGCCGTGGAGGCCGAGTGAGCATCCCGCGCCCGGAGGCCGACCTTGATCATGCGAAGGGGCGCGTGGCGGGTCCGGCCTGTGGGTGGGCTCGTTGGTTTTCAAGTGACGCTGCTAGGCTTTGCCTTTCTGGTTCGGAAAGCTCGTTTTCTTGGGAATGGGGGCGGTGGGCGCGCTGACCGAGCCCCTCCAGAGGGATGTAGGTAGCACCGAGGTGTCTCATTTTTTTCCACGCGTGTCCGCGGCGGGAGCGGGATGGGCGAGTCTCGGAGCCATCGGGGCTGAGGAGCCGGGGACGTGGGGGCGATCACCCCGCGCCAACACGGCCGGGGAACCCAAGGAGGGCCGCAGTGGGCTCCACTAGGGCGCTGGGCGAGGAGAATCCGAGAGAGGTGCGGAGAACCGAGGGGCTGGCTCCTGGCTCCGCGCCAACTGGCCGCGCCTCGGAGCGGGCGGCCAGAGGCTGAGAGCCAAGATAGCGACGCGGCTCCCATTGCGCAGGGGGTACGCGGCGTAGGGGTGGGGGAGGGGCGGCCTCTCGGGACTAGGGCCTTGGTTAGG